ACGGAGTTACTCCGTTTTTACTTCGGTTTCATCAGCATTCAAGTTAAAATTTTATATGAAAACAATTTTATTGAAATAAAAATAAAGATATAATTTTTAACTGGTTTCATTTTATTTATCAATGTTATTATTTTATTTAAAGAAAATTTTCTTTATTTTCTTGCTGTTTTGTTAAATGCATGGAATGAATTTTAAAATTATTCAAAATTCATCATAGATAAAATTTCGTTTCCGAAAGTGTTCCAAATTTTTTAATACTTTGGCAGCTTGGGTACGATTGGCGTTCTGTTTGTTACTATAATTTTGAACGGTTTAAATTATCGAATATATTTGAGGTTGTACGTGTTCCAATATATTTGAGCAAGATTAATGTTCTCAATAATTTGACCATTATGGATGTTTGAATGTTTATTTTCACTTTGGATGTTTCATAATATTTGACCACCCTCATATCTGACGCTAGAGTACTGCGTATATTTTGGTTACGTTTATACTGAAGCCTTCGAAGTTCCATAAGTTTGTAATAACAAAAGTTTTGATGTACTCAAAACGGGGAAATTTGTTCTATCAACAATAATCATGTTTGTCAGGAGCCATTAAATGTTAGGGGTTCCTCAAAATTTAAGTGCTTACCAAATTCCATAAAATGAAATTCAACCTAAATTATGATAAAAAATTTTAAGTTATTATATCTTGTCGATATTAGCAAAATTCTGTTTTTCTATTCGATGATTATAATGTTTCAAAACAAGATTAAATATACCTTCATTCTGTAAAGCTTAGAAATGATCCACCGGGGGGTAACATAATTAAAGTGGGTACTTTAATTATGTTATGTCTTACGCTATGTCTTAGCACCGACTTCAAAAGCCATTATTATATTATGTAATAATTATTTAATTATTTTTCGTCATAAGAAATTATTTGGGAGTCAGTTTTTAATAATTTTTAAAGTTCATCATCATCATCATTATCGTCATCATTACAATATATCTAAGTCCACTGCTAAACAGTACATAAAATAAATATGTTTAAATTATAAATTGAATTTAAATGTTTGTACTTAAAACAAAAACAAAACTCTAAATAGAAACAAGAAGGTCTCAAAGGGAAACATTGATGTAGCCAGGTCAGATTTACGAGTAAACTTTGTGTTTTTTGTTCTACTAAATTCATAAAATTAAATTTACATAAGCATAACCATAATTGTCTATTTACGAAGTAAGTATGTACCTACAATCCTAAACCATCGCCCTCCTCTCCCCAAGCATATTTACCAACTATCAGCCCACTACGCCGAGGTTTAGTAATAAATAAATCGAAAAAACCTAAGTTATACCGAGAAATGTGTAATTTTAGTTTCTCTATATTACAGATTTCTTTTATTTTTCTTAAATTTTCATTTGCTTCTACATTTTTAACCGTTATGTGACATTTAAAATTAATTTTACACGGTTTAGCATAAAAAATATAGCCTACGCTTAAAACTGCATCTAAATATAGCCACCTAATCATAAGTTTCGTTGCACTGAGCCTTTAGCCACACATAAAATATATAAAAAAGAAAAAGTGTTTTGTTCAGCTATTTCATTTGATATCCCTGAATTGTATGCATTTCAAAGGAAATTTGAGTATTAATGCTGCGTTTAAATTAAAAATTAATGCTGCGTTGATTTTTGGATGTAATTTTCAACTTACTTCGAAACATTTTCATATAATATTTTTTTCGTAATTCCTACACCGAAAGGTCAATCGTAGAATTCAACTTGGATTTTCAGTGTTCGGGAAATTACGAAACATCTTTCCGTCAGGTGTACTTCGAAAATTGAAAACAAGAATATACAACCAGTATCGTGTTACCAGTGATGACACATGGATCTGAGACGTGGAAATTCACTGTTGGCCGTATAAGAAAGCTCAAGGTCGCTCAGCGAGCCATGAAGAGAACTATACTCGGAGTTTCTCTGCATGAGACTTAGAAACGAGGATGTCCTCAGTAGAATCAGAGTAAAATACATAGGAACAGTAAGATAAAGAGGTAATGGGTCGGCCTTAGCTCTTAGAACCGACAATCGATGGGAAGGTTTTTGAGTGGCATCCTCGTAATAGTAAGCGTGGTGTACGGCGGCCCCCTACTAAATGCATTGACGAATTGGTAAGAAATGTAGAAATTCGATGGGTGCAGGTGATTCTGCACCGTGTTTTATATTTGCGATTAAATCGCTGTATTTAACAATAGGCCCTCATTCTAGCAATGAAGCAAGTTCGGTCTTGGCAGTTCACGCTATGGCGGACAAAGATAGTTGACACAATGCCCATATATCCATCAAGAAACGCTGGTAAAACGTTTATACATAAATTGAATCTAAAATATTTCACCCAAGGAGTTCTTTTCTATATAATTATTTTGATACCATTCGGTAGAGTTCTGTTCTATCGTGATACTGGTTTCTAATAGGAGAGCCCCTTTTAATTTTTAATTAGTATTATTTTAGATAACAAATAAAAATAAAGCGTCAACAGTAATATACATTCTGTGAAAATTTCAACTGTCTACCTATTACGAATCATGTGATACTGCCCGCTGACAGACAGCGGAAGTTTAATAATAGGGTCCCGTTGGTTACCCTTTGGGTTCGGAACCCTAAAAATTAATGATATCAGCGATAAGTCAGACAAATTTCACGTGACTGTAATTGAGATATGACATTCCTGTTAATTATTTTATAGTTTTCTATTTAAATTAACGATTGTAGAAAATCAACTTGACTAACACCGCAGAATAGTGACGAGGAACAGTGTCATTGGTGCGAGACGTCTAGTACTCTCACCATCAATATGCATACAACGCATGACGCATCAATACCTACAGGGAGAGGCCCTTTTCCAGCAGTGGAATTTTACAGAAGATAAAGAATAGTGGATAGTGAATAAATAAAATTACACTTTGATACTGCAAACATTTATTACTGATAATTATAACTATAAACAGACAGTAAATTTATAACAGTCTATGGTCAGATTATTATGGTTAATGCTTAATATGTAGCAAATGAAGTAGTGTTAAGGAAAATAATATTAGGGCTATTCTATACAGACAGTGCTCTCGCCACGAGTAATCCGCTTATAAACCGTTACAGACAGTGTAATACGAACTTAAAACGCTGCAATCAACACCGTGCTAAATTTAAAATAAATTCAAAACACGTGAAGTCCGCCAAAACGCACTGGGACAGTTAAAAGTTAACATGTGTTTTCTTTATAGTTCCAGAAGCCAAAGAAAAATTTAAGTCGTAAAGTGTTGACCCCTACCATATCGATACGGGTACGAGAATTGGCGGTCAACCATTCTCTTACGTACCAAGATATAAAAATGCAATGACCGGCGTTACGTATCAGTATTAAAATACGAGACGTCTATGGTGGTAAAACATGCGACATTTAGTATGCTACACTTAAATTATTATAGGAAAACGTCCCTCCCTACTACGGAAGTAACTCATGTCCAGTAGCGAAACGGTTCCTTAGAGTGGTTACGTCTAAAGACTTCAATGTTTTATTTTAAAAAAAAATCGTTAAACAAGCGCTGCAAGAGCTTATTTACGGAATCCATTTTAAGAACGAATATAGCCATGTATGTACCTTATGGTTTTCATAGAATTTGCTACGGTTAAACGTATACCTCTCTTTCCGCAATTAGTACTAAAGTGGGGAGTATTAGAAAAAACAGTTGGATACAATTAAAACCAAATTATTAAAAATATGTTCTCAATATGACGTAAATAAATATAAGCCTATTCATTTGATAAAAGTGCGGCTTAATTACGGTATTTCTATAAAGTAATTTTTATTTAATGAGCCATTTATTATGGCTCAATAAAAAGATTATTTTGTAGTATCACAAAACTCTTGGTCTTATGTTCAATTTATATAAAACTAGCTGTTCTCCGCGACTTCGCCCGCGTGGAACTTGGATTTCATGGGTTTAAATTTTTTTGCGCGGTACCCTAATTCTTTTTCTAAAACAAAAGTAGTCTAAGTTACTCCTTATATCATCAGCTATCTGCCAGTGAAAGTCCCGTCAAAATCGGTCCAGCCGTTTCGGAAATTAGCCAGAACAAACAGACAGACAGACAGACAGACCGACAGACAGACAAAAATTTATAAAATTGTGTTTTTGTTATTAGTACAGTATATACTTTCATATGCATTTAGTAAAAAGCTGTTATTTTAGCATTACAAACAGACACTTCAATTTTATTTATTTGTATAGATGTTTTTTAAGTAATAAAGAAATTATATTGAAGTAGATTTACAGAGGATCAAAAAGGTTAAAAAGTATCCCAACGTCGGCTTAACGAGCGAATTTCCGCGGCGAAAGTACCAACCGTTTATCATGAGCATTACGATGAACTATAGTAAAGTTAAATATAAATTAAATTCGTTAATATTTACATAAATAAAAACAACAAATAACATCATCGACTCATCATCAACTAAACAAATTCGTTTTACAGTTAGTATAGTTCTCGTACTATATTAATCTTTATTAGTAATAAAAACAAAAAGGCTGCGCCTTAAGAAATTTTATATAAAGTCAGTATAGAATATACTCAATAAAAATTACTTAAATTCTGTTATAATATGTAACAAACTCATTAACATTTTGTTTACATTATATAAAAGAACACAAATTACACAGTCAGTACAAAGAATTGGCAGCACATAGATACATTTTGTGATAGAATAACTGGTAGAATTTAACTTATTGTATACATAATCAATCAGTCTTTTAACAAAGATAATATTTGGCGATCACTCATCAGTTCAGAAATTTCAAAAGGCTCTTAAATAAACGTTGGCTTATTTTTAGTCTATGATCTACTCTCCTATCTTAACTTTGGCGACGTACATTTAAATACTGATATGGTAATTTAAAAAAGTTTCACTATAAAATAAACTTTAAAATATTTTGCACAATCCAGTTATGTTTTATCTTGTTATCTATGATGGGGTGTACGACAGTGCCCTGAAATAAAAACCAATTATTTTTTATAAATAAAATTCGTAATATTGATTGTCATGTTTTGTTATTTAAGATGAATGCACGTTCATCAGCACCGTAGGCGTCATTCGCGCCAAACGTGCTGCATTTACACACCGTACACACTCCTCCTATAAAATACTCTTAAATACTCCTGAAATGAAGTAAAAATATATTTCTAAACGTATAAGTGGGTTAATGGTGGAGTGATCATCTTGACACAAATTAAAACTTATTTCTACTGAACCACTAGAAAAGACACGCCCCTCTAAACAACACAAACCACGACGACGACGGTAGTCAAAATCATCAGTTTAGTGGAAAATCCACTAAGTTGGCAACATTAGGCAACTCTGAGTATCAGCGTGCCGCCTACAATATTCGGGACCTAGTGGATTTTATAAAATACGGCGCGTTTGGTGCGCGTAAAAAGTCCGAAATTTCATATGGTTTCATACAATGAATTCTAAAATGCAGCGCCTACGGCGCGTGCTGCGCGTACGGTGCTGACAAATGTGCATTCACCTTTACACGTTACTTACGTCTTGGCATAGCGGTTACCGTGGCTTTTGAAGTGCTATCACTATCGTCGGATTCCGAACGATTTTGGAAACTTGTTTCTAGAAAAGAAATATAATTTAGTTTGTACTTCAATAAAGAGTGAAATTCATTCATATATTGCAGCCTATCCAAATGTCACTGCTGAACATAAGCCTGCCCTATAAATTGCCTAAGGAGATATTTTCCATGGTTGCCATACTTCGAAGCCGGATCGGCAATTGCCGTTTTTTATTATTTTTAGCTGTTTTCTGAGTCAGTAAGACGTTGCTACCAATTTCCGTTTTTAGTATCCCTCCGTCGCCATTTACAACCGTAAGTCTATGATATGAACGTTTAAATTAAAAAATATTAAACCCCATTATTTAATATTCCCAATATTTATTTTAAATAATTTAATCAATTTTCCTTTTACTACATAGTATTACACATTACAGTACAATTAATCGAAAGAAAATATTCATTCCGTATGTCATTTAACAGAACTTAGCCCAGCTTACTTGTGTAATTCACACACAGACATGCCACTTCAGGAGTGATCAAAATAAATTACGTTAAATAACTTACCAGTGTCAAACCTTGGTCTACTCGGTAGTCGATTAGGCAGGTCTTGGTTCTCCACGTGGTCAAATGTCCGAAAACCAAGTGCAAATTCCGCATAGGGACTTATTTCGAACATTTCTAAAAATATATTAAGCAAATGCGTGTTTGTTACTTTTTTACATACTATTTAAAAATAATGTCTAAAGGTTGCTTCTAATCAATTGAATACATAAAATGTATCTGAGACCAACAAACGACTTACTCTATAAGTCACGGCTAAAAGCTGAAGTGCGGTAGGTTTAACCGGTTACCACTAGCTTCAGCTAATTACGGTCGCTTAAATAATGTTGTACTGTTCTAATTTCGATAAAAATACGAAAAGCAAATACCAATTATTATTAGCAACAGTAGGTTAATCTTTTATTTCATTTTGAAGTTCAAGCTTTTAATAATCCTAAGTTAAACCAACTACAATTTGTTTGCACCTAGCTATAGCAGGAAACCTACGTAGTTAATAAACGTAATTTTAGCCGTAAAATACTGTATATATTCATAGAAATAAAGGCTTTCAAATATTTTAGTGCTCAGTTTTTTTGTTACACTAAGATTTTATTTTTAAATATTCAAATGATATCTTACCATTTTTAGTAGGTTTTCTAGGATGTATCGGTGATGTGTATATTCGAGGCGTATGGGCATAACGTTCCTTTTGCTCTGCAGGGACAGCGATAGATTCATTCCGCGACTTAACTTCATCGGCTATAGAATGGCGGTATTGGGAAGAGTAACCTTGCCTAGGAGAAATATAAATATTTTTAGTAGGTAAGGAGTAGATAATAATTAAATATGACTGCCTAGTTGGTCTAGTGATTGGTTCAAATCCCGGGTCGAGCCAGAATAAATTATTGGATTATTCTGACAAGAAACTTTCAGTAGCAGGAAGGAGTCAAGAAGTTGGCTATGTTTCATCCCTGTGTCTAAAAAAGCACGAAAAAGCTGTTATTCCTGCTCTTAATCTCTCTTCATTCGTGTCGACTTGCCGTCCCATCGAGCTATACGAGGGAATAGATAGTACATCTATCTGGCAGCTATGACAGAAATTCGGTCTTGAGTACATTAATTAATTATTAAAAGCCTACAATGTATGAATTTAATTTACCTGTGTTTTTTGAACAATATGCAGATGAAAGCAAGCAAGCATATTATAAGAAGAATAGAACTGCATATTATCACAAGCATATTGAGATCTAGAAGTTCCGAAGGAGGGCCAATTTCTTCTGAAAAAGAAATATGTAAATCTATACATTGGTCAAAGAACAGTTGCAATAGTTTCAGTAATGTGTTTTAGTGCAGTCACTGAGGAGACCAAAGAACAGGACTTGCCGATGTTATTATGGGGAATTACGTAATAATTGTTTTATTCGTTAATTTGATGATAATTTCTTGCTTTTAAACGTTCGCCCTTAAGAGAATTTATGCATTTGCTTCTATTTCGAACACGAGTAAGCACAAATCTACAAATCTCGGACTGAATTTAGAAGTGGATTACGCACTGTGTCGGAACTAAATTCGAGAAATATTTTTGCCACTTTTATACTTGATATTCAAAATTTTTAGCCATTTTGGTGATGTTTCGCATACAGCGTTCAGTTTTTTATAAAGTGTAGTCTCAATTGTTGTCGACGCATTAGAAATAAAGAGTTCTGGATACACCACCACCACTACTAGCCTGATCTCTCGGATTCGAATCGGAAGAAGTGTGCAAGTGTGAATTCCTATGTAGTGCGCAATCCCTCATACAAAAAATTACGTTACGGTTCAACATTTCTCGGATACAGTGCGCAAAAGCTCTTATGCCAAACTATCGCAAGACAAAATTATCTGAAATAATGAAACATAATCTGGGAGTCTTTGAGTAAATTTTGGCCTAACAGCCTACCTGTTCACTGAACTCCAGTCCATGGACGCCAGAAACAAACCTTATATTTGGTAGTATATCTTTATATACAAAAATTACGTGTCACGTTGTTTGCCCGCGATGGACTCCTACACCACTGAACTGAATTCAATGAAATTTTGCACACTGTGTGCATTATGGCCCAACATGAGAGATAGCATAGTTTTTATTCCGTGAAATGACCATCAAAATTTTTTATTGCGGACATAAGAATTTTTAAAGGAAGGGTCGTCGGAAAGGGCAGAACAAGGGCGTGGCGAGCTAGTATATATATATATATATATATATATATATACGCCGTGTAGTGGCGGTCAAGAATATCCACTACCCCATATCCTCCCGTGGGTGTCGTAAAAGGCGACAAAGGGAAACAGGCAGTAGATGGGCAGCAGCATCTTCCTGATAATAGCCAAAATTATAATAAAAAAACTGCGGTTGCCAACCCGCTCGCCAAGCGTGGCAACTATGGCAAATACCCCCCAATGACTAAAGCAACAAACAGACGGCCCCCAGTCCCCGGCGGCCCCGCTATTTCTGGCTACGGTGGCGACCATGGTAACGGCGGGGCAGGGGGAGGTAAGAATCTCCGGTGGAGGTTCGGTTGCCACCTTAGACGACTCGACCTGGCAACGTACAACGCACGCACCCTGAGGACTGACGAGAAGATCGTGGAGCTGGAAGAAGAGATAGACAAGTTGCGCTGGCATATTATAGGATTATCCGAAGTCCGAAGAGAGGGGGAGGACACGGTAATCCTCGAATCCGGCAACTTGCTCTATCACCGGGAGGACGACCATCTGTCCCAAGGAGGTCTCGGATTTATCGTCCACAAGTCTCTCGTTAACAACGTTGTAAAGATCGGGAGTGTGTCGACGAGTGTTGCGTACCTTATACTCAGAATCACCAAACGGTATTCGCTGAAGGTCATACAGGTTTACGCACCAACCTCGGCACACCCCGATCAGGAGGTGGAGGAAATGTATGAGGATATCTCTAGAGCCATGCATTCCTCCAAAACCCAATATACGGTGTTAATGGGAGACTTCAATGCAAAACTAGGTACAAGAGAGAACGGTGAGCTGAAAGTAGGGAAATTCGGAATAGGGCAACGGAACCCAAGGGGCCAGAAGCTGGCCGACTTAATGGAGAAAGAGGGACTCTTTATGATGAACTCTTTCTTCCAGAAGCGGCCCCACAGGAAGTGGACCTGGTCGAGCCCCGACGGTTCGACAAAAAATGAGATTGACTTCATTATGACGACCAGACGACAACTGTTCAGTGATATCTCCGTGATCGCGAGGGTGAAAACTGGTAGCGATCACCGAATGGTTAGAGGCACACTGAACCTAAACGTTAAGTTGGAGAGGTCTCGTCTAATGAAGTCAACGCTCCGTCCCCCTCGTGCTCTAATCCAAGGTCCTGAAACCTTTCAGCTCGAGTTACAAAACCGTTTTCAGTGCCTAGAAGACTGCAATGAAGTGGACGATTTGAACGACAAGCTCGTGGAAACTGTCCATGCGGTCGGAGCTAAGTTCTGCAAGACCCGCCGCAGAAGAACACAAAAACTCTCCGATCACACTCTTAATCTCATGGCTGTTAGACGGGAGATGAAGCTACATTCTCCAACAGACTTGACAGCATACAGGCATCTGAACAGACAGATCTCCAAATGCATGCGGCGGGACTTACGCAACTTCAATACAGCTCGTATTGAAGAAGCGATAGAGCGGAACCAAGGCTCCAAAGTCTTTGCCAGAGATCTGTCTGCCAGAAAGAGCCAACTGTCAAAGCTGAAGACGGAATGTGGCAGCATCGTTTCCGGGACACCTGAAATTTTGAGTGAGATTGAGAGGTTCTATGGGCAGCTGTACACGTCATCGTTGGAGCCACGCGCAAGTGTGAGTAACGATCCAAGAGCGAGTCTCATCCGACACTATTCCGAAGATATCCCGGACGTCAGTCTGGGCGAGACTAGAATGGCTCTCCAGCACCTTAAAAACTTTAAGGCCCCAGGCGAGGATGGAATTACAGCGGAGCTTCTGAAAGCGGGTGGAAGACCGGTACTTGAAGTCCTTCAGAAGCTCTTTAATTCCGTCCTCCATGGTGGCATTACACCGGAGGCTTGGAGCAGAAGTGCGGTGGTCTTGTTCTTCAAGAAAGGTGACAACGCTCTCTTGAAGAACTACAGACCGATTTCCCTTCTGAGCCGCGTCTACGTGCTGTTTTCGAGAGTCATTACGAATCGTCTCGCGCGCAGACTTGACGACTTCCAGCCTCCCGAACAAGCCGGTTTCCGAAAGGGCTTTAGCACCATAGACCACATACATACCCTTCGGCAAGTTGTACAGAAGTCGGAAGAGTACAATTTGCCAATATGTCTGCCGTATGTGGACTATGAGAAAGCCGTTGATTCCGTCGAAATTTGGGCGGTGCTGCAGTCCCTTCAGCGGTGCCAAGTTGACTGTCGGTATATCGAAGTGTTGAAGTGCTTGTACAGTAGGGCTACGATAGCTATCCGAGTACAGAACCAGAGTACGAAACCTATCCAATTGCAGAGAGGTGTAAGACCGGGTGACGTCATATCCCCGAAACTCTTCACCGCTGCATTGGAAGACGTTTTCAAGCTTCTGGACTGGAAAGGATACGGTATCAACATCAATGGCGAATACATCACTCACCTTCGCTTTGCCGACGATAAAGTCCTTATGGCAGAATCGTTGGAGGACCTAAGCACTGTGCTTAATGACCTCAATAGTGTTTCCCAACGGATAGGTCTTAAGATGAACATGGGCAAAACAAAGATCATGTTTAATGTCCATGTCACACCTATGCCGGTAGTTGTTGGGAGCACTAAGCTCGAAGTTGTTGACGAGTATGTTTACCTGGGACAAATAGTCCGACTAGGTAAGTCCAACTTCGACCTAGAGGTCAATCGACGGATTCAACTCGGCTGGGCAGCGTTCGGGAAGCTACGACACATCTTCTCGTCAGACATACCTCAAAACCTTAAAACGAAATTTTACAACCAGTGCGTGTTGCCAGTGATGACTTACGGAACTGAGACGTGGTCCTTCACTGCTGGCCGTATGAGGAAGCCCAAGGTCGCTCAGCGAGCTATGGAGAGGGCTATGCTCGGAGTTTCTCTGCGTGATAAACTTAGGAATGAGGATATCCGCAGTAGAACCAGAATAACCGACATAGCCCAACGAATTAGTAATCTGAAGTGGCAGTGGGCCGGCCATATAGCTCGAAGAACCGACAACCGATGGGGAAGAAAGGTTCTCGAGTGGCAGCCTCGTACCGGTAGGCGAAGTGTAGGGCGTCCCCCCACGAGATGGAGTGACGACCTGGTAAGACATGCAGGAAGTCGATGGATGCAGGTGGCTCAGGACCGTGCTTTCTGGCATTCTTTGGGGGAGGCCTATGTTCAGCAGTGGACTTGTGAAGGGCTGTAATGATGATGATGATATAGAATATAGAATCTCTTCAACTTCTATATATATATATATATATATATATATATATATATATATATATATATATATACATATATATTAAGATACAGACTAGATGCCTCACTAGATATAACTAAAGTGTCTCACTAATTCTTCATACGAGATATACAACATTTGGTGTAATGCGTATTGACATAAAAGCAGAACAGGAGTCGTACCAATAACAAGTGGCAGAATTAAAAAAATTATGCAACCGCCTTTAACATAAATTATTACGTATAACTCAAAAACTACTTATAAGACCTTGATATGTTAATTTATATAGTCCCATATAAATTAACAAAACAAAAAGAACCAGCTTTCAAATGAAAACATAATCATCATAATCGGTTCACCGAGAAAAAAGTTATTAGGTCACACACAAAAAAAATACAGTCGAATTGAGTACCTCCTCCTTTTTGAAGCGAGTTAAAACTGTTTCATTCATTCATTGTTAATTACAGCCTAAAGGCCACTGCTGAATTTAAGCCTCCCCCATTACCTCATAGGGGCCAAATGTACATAGTTGCCACTCTTGGCAACTGCAGTTCAATTGTTATCTGGAAGCTAGTACTGCCTATCACTTGTTTCATTTTCCCTCTGTCGCGTTTTTCGACACTCATAAGATGAACCCTTACGTCGAAACCATATGGCAAAATACTTTTATTGATCTTTAATTACCCTGTTTCTTTTTATCGCAAGTTATTAAAATAAACGAATAAAGAAACAAAAACATATTTTTGAATATATTGACAGTTTAGCCTTAATTCTTAACTGCAATACAGCTGTATATTAGCTACATAATTTTTTTAAACTATTACATTTTTAACTACACGTTTTGCAAAGTAACAAAAATATACATAATAAAATTGTTAATAAAATTTTGTCTATAATAAACAAACTAAATGCACAATCATAAAGTAAATCAAGCACATTTAAAGCATACTAAATTCCCATTACGTTCTACAAAGGAGGTTTGTGTAGTCTCTTCTATGCTATCTAAGCTATGTGTTAACTTAAATATTTTAGTTATTCCTTTCAGCCGACGAACACGAGTCGACTAAAACACATCTACATTGTTTACTTTGTTTACTGCATTACATTATGTTACTATATAGCTTCCTTGCGTTTGATAATAGTGCTTAGAGTACCTAATATGTCTTTTTTATTGTTTACTGTGTCATTTCTTTACAATGTAACGGCAAATTTGTTTTAATTGACAAAAAAGTTTCACGATTTAACTTTCGCCAGCGAATGTCCACAGCTGAATATATCTTTGCCTTAATCGTAATTAATGACGACCACAGTAACTGAAATTTTTCTGACATTTTCCATAAACGCCTCTTACGTAACCAATGGAGCGACGGGTTCTCTTATACTCCGACCAAACGATGCGATGATTCAACCTTACTTTTTTAAATACATGTTAAAAAAAATTACGTTACTTTATTCACAGCACATAATTTTACCATTTTTTATGTTTATTAAATACAAAAAAAATATATACTTAAATTCAATTCATAAAAATCTCTCTGTACAGTTCGAAACCGGCAAAGTTTCTTAAATATTGAAATAACATAAGTTTTGATGAGCGCAGAGAGGGGAACTTTGTTTCGCCAACAATGATAAAGTCCGTCAGAATTCATTTGATGTCGGAAATTTAATTTTTTTTTTGGGATGATTTTATGTAGAAGTTACTTTTACTTCAGTTATTAGAGAAGGATTTTAAAAATTATATCATAGAATGTCAGTTATACTTTCCTTCTTTTCTTTTTGGATATTTTGATAAGAATTTGCCGAAGTGAGTGGCAAAGTCGGAAGGACGATCTAGACGGATGTTCATGGGCAACATTCGCGATATATTGTAGGTGGGCCAAATTATGAGTACCCTTTACCGAAGAGTATGTGCATAGGTAGACATATCAATGTGTAAAAGCGTCAGTGTCAGAATCATGTCAAAAGGAATTCCGGAGTCTTCGCCTACCCCTCTGGGCGTTGGGCGTGAGAGTTTATATATGAATGAATATTTTATACTTTGCTGTATTCAAAATACTTAAGTGTTGTATTCATTGCTTTCAATTAAGATCCTTTCCTCGCTTTTACGGCGTTTCAATGTTTTTGAAGGCTCAGACCGCTTTCCATCCAATTATGTGCAAAAATGGCGAACTTTTGAGCAGACTGCGAGGAATTACTGATTATCTTTACTACTTTGGCAGATTGACAAGACCCTTCTTTACATTGTCATTTAGCATATCAAAATTCTTATTGTTTTATGGTTAAAAATTAAGTTATAATGATATTTTTATGTGTGATTCCTTCATTATAAAATATACATTAATTTAACAATTATAAGATCATTTAGATATAAAGCTATTTAATAGCTTTTGTTTTGAGCCAACTTTAAAAAAGTAGGAGGTTAACAATTTGACTGTATGTTTTTTTTTAAATGTAAGTTTGACACAGCATCTTTGTCAACTGTGAATCGATTTTGATGATTCCTTTTTTAAGCGTGACAAAATAGGTGTAGGAAATTTTTAAAGTATCTTTTTAGATCCACTCAAAAGAGTAAAAAAACTAAAAAAGGTTCTATAACGTATTGTATAAAAGAATTAAAGCTCCGACCTCACAATGTGAAACAATTTGTTTCTTTTATTATAAAGAATTCATTTTTACTTCAAATCAAGAATTAAATTTTTCGCATAAAAGTTTGCCTTACGAAACGTCTCACCTCCATCTATCGTTTTTGTTGCATATGTGTAGATTGCTGAAGCAGTTCCAGCATCGTTGACAGCAGTAACTCTCAGTTGATACCAATTTCCAGGATCAAGGTAACCGACAGCATACGACGTAGGAATAGACCGCAATGGTGGTGCTGGGTAGTGACCATCAATATAACCCCAACCTAAATTAAGTTCCATAGGCTAAAAATTTACCATAAGGTTATAAAATGTTTGTTAAATTTTAATCAAATTTAATTTTAAATCAAATGAGACAAAAATAAATCTGAGTGATTATTAAATAAAGTTCGTAAATCTATATTATTCATGATTGTAATGTTATTATGCAAACAATAAACATTAGATCTATTAAATGAAAGTTAGGAACTTTTAACATCAAGAACAACAATACCATTCTGTTCTCTGCTTTTTTCCATTGGTTTGAACCAAGAAGCCTGTATTCCACGTCCCATCTTGTTACGTCACAACCGCCGTCATCCCAACCACTAAGTTGAATGTAAATATGTGTGGCATTACTCCATAGCCAGTCAGTTGTTGGAGGTGATACAGGCGCTAGAAAATTTTAATTGTATTTTTTTTCAAAAGAGCCTATTTTATTTGGAAATAAGAAATATAAAGGTAGGTTTTTTTTATAAGATAGGGTGACAAACGAGCACACAGTCCACCTGATGGTAAGTGGTTGCTGTGGCCCATAGACATCTACATCTATCCTCGTTTGCGAATCAAAATGTAGATGCGTTGTCACCCGTGAGGACTAAGATGGAACCCCTCTTTTCCAGTAAAAAGAGTCTCCAATACTCTACACTCACCATACGAAACACAGCAGCATGAGGCTGATATTTTACGCTGGTATTCTGTAAGAGCGTGGTCCTACCCCGGTCGAGCCAACCCATTCGAGCTGCAAATATACTACTAACATAGCTGCAGCATGGCTCTACCACGTATAAAGGTAGGTTATAAAAGATAAAAAAAATATTTATAAAATTTATTGTGGTGATAGTGTCCAAGAGTATTTTATCCAGACCTGATAATAAGCGGCTGCTCCATGCATCCAAAGATATATACGAGTACATAAATCATAGATTAGGATACAAAATGCAGATGATTTGTCTCCTCTAAGAATTAAAATAAAATGCCTCTTTACTAGTACTAATAAGGGTCTTCAGCTCTTGTATCACCTTACCAGAATAGCAGCCTTGTTTTTGTTATTTAGCTGGTATATTCTACGGTTCAGAAAGCGTGGTCCTTCTTCACTCTAGCTAAACTTTCTATACGTGCTGGAGCCATAATATATTTTTAATCATTTTTATACAGACAGACTATATAGATGCAGTATGTTCAGCATATTCACTCAGCACGTGGACTTTATTTATAAATACACACACACCCACACAAACACACACACAAGCACGCGCATGTGTGTGTGTGTGTGTGTGTGTGTGTGTGTGTGTGTGTGTGTGTGTGTGTGTGTGTCTCTCTCTCTCTCTGAACTAAAACACTGTACCAATTTACAATGACCTCATTTCCCAAGAAATATTATTATTATATTCATCATTACAGCCCTTCACAAGTCCACTGCTGAACATAGCCCTCCCCCAAGGAATGCCACAAAGCACGGTCCTGAGCCACCTGCACCCATCGACTTCCTGCATGTCTTACCAGGTCGTCACTCCACCTATTGGGGGGACGCCCTACACCTAGTCGGCCGGTATGAGGCCGCCACTCGAGAACCTTTGTCCCCATTTGTTGTCGGTTCTTCGAGCAATATGGCCGGCCCATTGCCCCTTCCGCTTACTAATCCGTTGGGCTATGTCAGTCACTCTAGTTATACTACGGATATCCTTATTTCTAAGTTTATCAAGCAGAGAAACCCCGAGCATAGCCCTCTCCATAGCTCCCTGAGCGACCTTGAGCTTCCTCATACGGCCAGCAGTGAAGTACCACGTCTCAGTTCCATAGGTCTACAACTGCAATTGGCAACACGCACTAAAGTCTCTTTTTTTTTTTCAAATTTTGAGATATACCTGACGCGAAAATGTGCTGTAATTTCTCGAATGCTGCCCAGCCGAGTTGAATCCGTCGTTTGACCTCTCGGTTGAAGTTGGACTTAACAACAACTTCTTGTCCACAACTTCAAGCTTATTGCTCCCAGCAACACCGACTTACATCATATACTCATACTTAATAATATAAGCAATATGACGGCTTCGTGGCGCAGTGGCTTAGCAATCAGTTGTTGCGCTGGGGGCCGCGGGTTCGATTCCCGCACGGAACAAGTATTTGTATGGCCTACAAATAATTGTTCCGGGTCTGGATGTTTGTCCTTGTGCAATTTAAGTTTGTAAACTGCCTCCACGACACAGGAGAAAATCCTAGTGTGGGGGTAACGTTTTTTTTTTTAAAAAAAAGAAAAAAGATAAAAATATAAAACCTCAAATGTATTTCTTTTACCTCCTCCCAAGGTTGTAACATCAATATGTGCTGGAGCAGACGTCCCAACGTTATCTGTAGCTGTTACTCTAATTGAATATTTTGTACCACATTTCAAGCCAGCCAGAGCGTGTTGTTGAATGCCTGGTAAACGTGTTTCCCGTGCTACGGGCCAAGCTTCCTGCCATGGTCCATCGCCTTCGCGCCAAGTCAAATTATAACCTAGATTTTTTCTTTGTATTAAATTAAAACGCAATTTTATTAACTAAGTAGGTAATTACGGTATTGAATACTCTTTTGATGTTAGCCTTGAAATAATAGTTAATTAATTAATTAATCTATACATAAACATTGCCTGTTTGTAATATAAAAATGATTTCTTTCGATCTCAGGCGATTATTTGCATGCCACTGAAACATGACTAAGCATTTGTATAATTTTCCTGCCTGCCTGTTTGTCTGTCTATCTCTTGGCTGAATCGATTGTGATGAATCTTCATAAACAAATAGAGGCCAATGTTAGGATTGATCTAAGTTATATATCATCCGAAAAACTAGGAGACCTTTTGTTTGTGAAATTGAAAAAATTATACAATAATGATCATTGGTAATCTCTTTAAAAATTTCAATTGACGTCATTTAACAGATTCTACCCAGACGTAGCATATAACCTATAAAAATTGGCTTAAACGATATCTATGTTAATTTACTAAATGTATTCAGAAATAAAAATGTATACTTACTTATTCCATAACTTAAAGAGTCATTTCCGTGTACTTTAATTTCATCCCATTCAACTACAATGGAGTCTTTAAATGGTGTAGCTCTTAATGTGGGTGGATCCGGTAACGGTAAGACCCTCACTGTATATACGACTGAATCGGACCCGTACAGATTCTTTGCTAAGCATGTATAATTACCGCTCAAGGATTGATCGATGCCTGAAAATGTATCGCATTTAATTTCTGTGCTCAGAATTTAATTTAACAAAAAGTACACAATGCTAAAACGTGATTATTCATAATTAAATATGCTAGGATTTCCTCATTGATTGTAAAAGCAGCTTACATACATAAACCAGCTGATACCCGCTCTCTTCGCTGGGCACACGATAATATTTTATTGCGGAACCTAGATGTAAAATATCAAGAATTATCTTTCTACTAAATTTCAAGTCAATCAGATGTATAGTTTTAGAGATCTCGTGATGAGTCAGTCAGTCAGTGGTATTTTGCTTATATATATATTTTGAAAAGCAAAAACCAATAATTAGTTTGTGGTAGTTTGCAGTGTGGTCTGATTGATTGATCATTCAGACAAATGACAAATGATTGTTCCGGACCCAAAACATTTATTTGTAGGCTATACAAATACTTATTATTTTAAGAACCCGCGGCCCCCAGCGCTGCAACTCAATGCTAAATCACTGCGCCACGTAGCCGTCGTTAGTTTTCGTTTGTAGAATGATACTCAATGACATAATATTCATTTTTCAATCATATTTATTTGATAATATTATTCCTTATATTATTATTTTTTTATGAGAAATTCGAACAAGTATTAACTTAGTAACTGCTTTATAACGGGATTAAAATAATGTAAGCAAGAAAATTTGTGATATAATCGTTTTGCTTTTTTTGTATTTTTCTGATATATTTATCATAAATGGATAATAAGAATATAAGTAAAAAGTTAAGATTTATTTATTTGTTAAAACAGATCTCTAAGCTCTTAGCTCATTAAAATATAACAAATACAATTTTTTGATAATATTATTCCTTATATTATTATTTTTTATGAGAAATTCGAACAAGTATTAACTTAGTAACTGCTTTATAACGGGATCAAAATAATGTAAGCAAGAAAATTTGTGACATAATCGTTTTGCTTTTTTTGTATTTTTCTGATATATTTAACATAAATGGATAATAAGAATATAAGTAAAAGGTTAAGATTTATTTATTTGTTAAAACAGATCTCTAAGCTCTTAGCTCATTAAAATATAACAAATATAATTTAACTATGCGATACCTTTTAGTTAAATGTATAGATTTTGTTTTATACTACTTTATTTACAAAGTTTCGAATCGTAACACATCAAAAAAATATATATAAAACACATCTTACTTTTGATAAGCAAGCTATCATCTCTGTTTCTCGTAAATCGTGGATGATGTGTAATGATATTTTGGTTATGATACCAAACTGTCCTGGGTGGGGGAGATCCAACACTTTTACATTCTAAGAGTAGAGAATTACGCACAGCCACCGTGACGTCCCCACCTAATGACGCCACACCTGCTACCACTGTCAATGAAAATTTCATAAATTCAAAAGTGATAACAATATTAAATTACATTTAATAATATTTGCGAAATTCTGAAATAAGATGAAATATGAATTATGATTCTGTAAGAAATGGAATACCGAAGAAGTATTTAAGAGATATACTTGTTATAATGCGCTATCAATATTATAGATGATTTTTTTGTCGTCAAAAAAGTTATCCATCAAATTAATTATAACCTGACTGAATATAAAAGTGAATACAATATAATTATTTTATTCATACAACTGTTATTAAAAAGAAAACTTCTTAAGACGTGTTGGTAGATTTTTGAACGGTGAAAATTTTATGAGCTCACGTCACCGGCAGGCTAATATTAACAGTATATTTTTAGCTATAAGTATGAGTTGCGTGAATGCTATGTGCGTTGGAAGCTTTTTACTAATGTTAACAGTATATCTTTAGCTATAACTATGATGAGTTGGATGTTTACTATGTGCGTTGGAAGCTTTTTAGATGGGTAAAACTTTATGAGTTTGCGTCACCGACATACTAATGTTAACAGTATATCTTTAGCTGTAAGTATGACGTGTTGCGCGTATGATATTTAGATAGATGCTTTTTAGATGGCTAAGATCTTATGAGTTTAAGTCACCAATATTATTCAATTAAGTTGTGTTTATAGTTTGTACAGTTTTTATATAGTTTAGATTAATAAATAAATGTATGAAAGGTATATAATTGTGGCCTGAAGTACCGCTAGATGTGAAAACTAGATTTATGTTAACCTTTTCAATTTACAAATTAAGAAATTTTAATTTTTGATGGTGCAATTGATTTGAAAATCTAAAATACACTATTATTTCATAGTTTTAAGTTTTTTACTTCTGTCGACAATCTCCAGTGTTTCCCTTTTTTTCAATTTGTTTATGGTGTATTTTATCCTAAGAATAAATTTTACCTAACGATTAAAAATCAGCCCTAAACTTAAAGCATAATTTGAAGTCAGTCGCATTATTTGTGCATCCCAAAATAAACTATTTAACTCTTTTAAATAATTGACCAATGTGCATCAGCGACATAACATAAATAAACAACCGAACGAAAAGAAAAGAAATAGTCGCCTTAGTTCGGAGATTTCCACAAAACAGAACCTCCGTAAGAAAAACACATAAAACAAAATATACAAAAGAAAGCAACGAAGAGACAAAACTTGTGAAACTTTTGCTCATTTGGCACTGAAACAGATTTATCCAAGGAGATAAAATTTATCAATACCTACATATTAACAATTTTTCCTGGAAATAACGTCTCAATATTCCTTTTGTCTAAAAATGTCATTATATTTTATGTATCTCGTATTTCATGACATAAAAATATTAGATGAAATTCAAAGAACTTTACTTTGATACGAAATAAGTTATTAAAAAACTGTAAGAAATATTTGTCCTATTTGAATAGTTGTTATTCGAAGTTGTTGTCTCCCGGTCTCCACATACTTAAATCCGGTCCCATTGTCACCTTATCTCGTTCCGTGGGTGTTGTAGAGGCGAATATAGGATATTCAAAAAATATTTTTATTTTCGAAATGGATTTTTTAGAAGTAAGGTAACAAACAATAGTATATATATATATAAAGAAGGATGAATCGATCATTTATAGTTTTTACATTTTGTAATTTGTATACGCCTAATAATATACTTTGACGCCGAATCTCAAATTTATAAGTAAAGTCCTTGATCCATAATTAATGTATTGAGTTGCTTTGTTTTTATCCACATTTTCACCTAATAACCGCTAATTCCTTTCCCACCGAAAAGCCTCAAGACAAGGTGTGACGGACCAAAGACCGGACATTGGCAGAATTATTGTGACATAACCACAATACCAAAGGCCATATGGTGAACTAGGTGTGACTTGTCGAAGTGAAGTGAACTAGGTTTTTAATGAGTCAGTTAATGATTCAAAATTTAATAGACTTATTCGTGATTCTAATCAAACATGCACTTTTATGTATGTAGGTCTAATAGTTTTTGAAATTAGTATTTTTAGAAATAAGTCGTGCTGCTGCTATAATTGTATTTCAGTTTGGTTCTACCACGTACAATTTATGACTTTACCGATGAAATGAAGCAGCATTATAAGTTGCAAAACGTCTGGTATTGCAATCGCGAATAATCGTTGCAATAACGACACAGTCCTCCCTTCCAAGGGAGGGATAAAAAGTAAAATCTACTTTAGCAAGTTTTCCTTTTTTTATTTTTTATAGAAAAAGGGTGACAAACGAGCACACAGTCCACCTGATGGTAATTAGATTCTGTGACCTGTAAATATCTACACCTAAGAAATGTTAAGAATCAAAATGCAGATACGTTGTCACTCCTGTGGACTAAGATGGAATGCCTCGTTTCCCTATTTTATGTTGGTATTCTGTGAGAACGTAGTTCTTCTCCGGTCGAGCTGAACCTTTGAAATATAATAATTTTTAATATATTGCGCGTGGACTAGTATGAAGACACTATAAAATTAATTGTAGGCAATTAGTTGCTTACGGGATTCAATCCGAAGCCCGCAGCACCGCAGCTAAACGTCAAAAACATGTTGTGAAAACTGGCTTATAGTAAGTAAAAAAAAATCATTAAAAGTATAAGATCTTACGTAAATCTTTGATTAATGTACTAAGTATATGTGTAATAGACGTTTCCAAATAGTATCCAAGTTAATAATGATAAAGACTTACCTCTCTGTGACGGAGTATTCGTCACACGTTTACTTTCAGGTCCTTCTCCTATTGCAGTACTAGCAGTGACCCATACATCGTACTGTCGGCCTTCGTATAAAGCTTTAAGTTCCAAAGTTTGTGTCTTTTCATATACGTCAATAGTTTCCTCGGCGTCTACTCTGATTACTTGTGGACCATCATTACTAAAATAATTTAGTTATCCTTAGAACTACTGTGTTATGTTTACGCTCCAAAGTTTTTATTAAAATGTTCAATTAAGAACGCGATTACATTAAAATTTATAACGGAGAATTTGCTAAAAAATTTGACATACAACACACAATTATATCTCAAATATTTTTTTTTAAATGAATTACCTTGCAGTTGGTTTGCAATAAACTGTATAATGCAGTAATCTCCCGTTTGGGTTCTTTGGTTTCTTCCAGCTTACTAATAGTGTGTTGGATGATTGCGATAACAGCTTTATCTCAGCTGGAGCATCGGGAACTAAAATTATTTTTAATTTCTTGTTATGTTGCTTGTAACATGGTGATTAAAAAGTAAAAAAGTTAGTGTTACCTAAATCATTCATAATCGTTCATTAAGTAACACTTAATTTATGTATTAATCATATTTATATCTGTCTTTTTCTATTGTCATTTAGTGAAGTGAGAGACAATTTTCAGCATTTTTTATAAATTTAGAAGAAAAATGTTAAAGGTTTTTTTTATTATTTAAATTAAACATATAGTAGTAGTAGAAGTAGTATTTGACATTATAAACACAATCATTAAATTTGTGAATAATATATTAGTTATGAAAATTAGTTTATTGTTTCTTTTCTATTTTAGAATAGCATTCAAAAAATATATTTATAAAAAAATAAGTTCTTACCATCCTGGAGAGTTGCACAAACAATAGGAAAGGAAAACGGTCCAGTGCCGTAGTTAGAGAAACCCGCGACTTTGACCGTATAGTTTGTATATTTGTGCAAGCCTTGCAGGCGCAACTCTGTCACTAGAGACGTAGCGTTCTGCCATTGTCGCGCTGCGAAGTTTTGTTCGTTTACATAAATTTTGAATTACAGAAAGCATTTCAAAGGATTCTGCTTCAAATATAGCAGCGTTAGTCCTGTACATTTTGTTAGCAGTTTAAATTGTATGCAAATTTCGAGTTTATGAGGTATATAATAAAATAAATTTTATCGGATGGATAGTGGATTTTTATGCCGGGTAGTGGTAAAAGAATTCGCTACCCATAATTTCATACCGAGGGTATCGTAACACACGACATAGGCAAATTAAACAGTAGATTGGCACCAGCATCTTACTGATAACATATTTATAATAGATTATATAATTAAAAAAAAACTGGGGTTTTCATCAGTCCTGCCAAGCGTGGAAATTCTGGAAAATATTATCTCTATGAGATAATATATAAGAGAGGCTCTAGCAGTTGACATTTTTTTTAGGGTTTAAGGATGATGATGATAAAATTTAAATTATTAAGAAATTTGATTTACATGCAGTCATGAAAAAAGTGATATTTACCTTGTGCAGCGTAAAGAACTGAGTAACCAATAAGTGCTCCCGCCTGCCTGTGAGGCGGGATCGGTTGCCAGCTTATTCTTAGAGCAGTGGATGTAACGCCGCTACATTCAACTGATGATGGGCCCTCTTCCGGCGCTACATACGAAATATTTATTGCTTAGATATATGTCATCATATAAAATATGTTATGTTTACCGTAATATGTATATATTTTTAAAAGGTGAATTCGGTTTTTTTTTCTTACGTAGAAACGACTAAATTTAACAGTTTATAATTATCTATTTGAAATTAGAACAAATTCTTCTAGAACCAAAACCAAAATATTATAAAATTTCATTCCCAATTAAATTTATCGATCGAGCTGCAGAAGTTCAGTAAGTGTTAATTTGCCACGTGCTTGACCACGAAGGAAAATGTCGTAAGGATTTATTCACGATGTATTCACATTTTAGAAACGAAAATTATCTTTAGGCCACATAAAGTCCGCCAAAATGCATTGTGATGGTGCGGCACTCTGGAAACCCTCTCACTAATGATAGCAAACCTATGTTCAGCAGTGGCTCGTATGTAGACCTTGAAAATAAAAAAAATACTACTTTTAATAATTGAAATGGAAATATATACTAAATTTATCTATATATATTTATAATTTCAAAGCATACCTGCTTACTATATTACTATTAAACTGTTGATTTCTTTGCAATAAAATTACTGTTTTGAGCTATTTTTGCTTATCCGTGAGTCTAAATCCTAACCTTGCTCAAACCTTATCTTTGACAATATATCGAATAGGGAGAGATGAGAGAAAGTGGTTATGCATTTTGTTCTGCATCTTATTATTAGATTATATATATTCTTATTATAATTTTAGTAATAGGTGAATATCAAAAATACTCGTACATTTTAATATTAATTATAAAATGAGGAAAAGAGACACATCATTAGAAAGGTACAAAAAAGTGAAATTATGTGTGTTTTGAATTTGATAGTGTAATGTGTTTTATTATTTTATTATTTTGATCTCATTCTTACTTCTAATTATTTTATTATGACGACCTATTACCTAGTGGTCGTAGTTTTTGGCTAATATGCTCAGTTCTGGCTTCAAATACTACCCGTAGGAAATTGGGTTTCGTGGTTTTGTTGAATTGGTGTTGTACCATTGTCTCCCACATTGCAATGTTGCACTGATCTTACCTTATTATGTAACAAATGAGTGCTTTTAAGTTGACGATTGAAGATTATAATTTCTACTGCGTAAATGTTTCTTTTGTATATTTTCCTTAAAAAAAAACTGAAGATTTCAGAAATACAAGTTTATTTATAAGCCCTCTTATAATTTAATGGTAGCCCTAAAATAATGTAATGGTATATTTATAGATTTTAATCTTTGTTGGAAACACAAAACAGCATACAATAATTGGCCGTTAATTTGCGTAGTGGTTTTAATTAAGTATGTTATTTTCTTAAAGTCGCATTATTTGTATAATGATACAAACAATTAGAAGAAACATTAAGATAATTAGCAAAATTGTAAATTTAGACGACATTACCTCCTTCCCTTGTGTCTTGAAACAAAGGTGTGGAGAAAGGTCCCACCCCAGCGCCGTTAAATGCTGCTATGGAAACTGCATACCTAATTTACATTAAAAAAACGAACTAAACATTTTGTTACAATTAAATTTGTGTAAAATTTTATTTTAGTGTAAAATGTACTTTACCTTACACCTTTGAGCAATCCCGTGATAATGGTTTCTTGTTTTGAATACAAAGACGAAGTCTTGATAATTTTGTCGTTTACATCTTGAGTTTCTAAATAAATAAATAGTAAAGGTAAACTTTTGAATTAGTTAAAAATTTTATAAACAGTCTAAAATATTGATGTACATTCTGAAAATACTAAGAACAAACACAAGCTAGTTATAGCAGATACTCAACATTAAAGAGAGATTATTCTTTTACGGCGCAATATATACGTTACTACAACAAAGTCCCACAAAATATGTATAATTAGCTTTCAATAAGTGGTTTTGTAATCAATATTGAAAAAAAAATTCTCTTCTATTCTAAAACTATAAACACAGGAAAGATATTTGCAAAGCAAGAAGGAGACAAACTTCTGTGCAAGTAACATCATCTATAGCTATTACAGTTTTTATTTAGCATAATAACATAATAAAAATACGTAATAATAAAATTTAGACTTAAGCAATTTGAATTTCTTAGCTTTTAATGGCCTGCCCTAAAAATATCTTAATCTTAAACAAACCTTTTACTCCGTTGAGTTGTGGTACAGCTCGTAATCTGTACCCAAGTATTAACCCGTTGTGAGTATCAGCAGGTGGAGGCAGCCATTTTGCTTTTAGTTCGCCAGGTGCGTCCGTTTGCTCTATTTGTACAGCTAATGGAGGAGACGATGGAGCTGTTCAGGATTAAAATCAGTATAGTTAAAATTGACATGTTAAAATCACTGAGAATATAACACACAGTTAATTTTATAAAGTCATAGATCATGAATAAAAATGTACGAACTTACATTAATTGTATAATTTTTATTATATATTAAATAATTTTAAAAGATCAATTTGCATGATAATTAAGTTTCTAGTTTTAGTTTTTTTTTATTATCATAGTTTTTAATATTTGATCTTAACAATATTATACCTTCTTCAGTAGTAGTAAACTTTACGGGTGAAGAGAATGAGCTAAGATCTGCTTGGTTTCCTCCAGCTACTCTAACCGTGTAAGCTGTCGCTGGCAGTAAATCACCAATTTCAGCAGTATGACGTATCTCATCTAACCTATACAAACATTCAAAAATAATTAAATTATGGTTAAATTATTTTTATTACTTTTTTATTTATTCTTACACACTTTACAGACAAACTACATTTAAGTAACAGCAATGATTAAGTATACATTATCGTTTAAAGCTTATATGTACAATTCTAACAAGCTAAGGCAATAATCAATAAATATTACCGTGTCACATTTATTGTTTTAGCATTATTCCAAGACAGGCGTTGACTAGTCGCAATTTGTAAACTGTAAAATTGGGCTAAAGAACGCGCCAAGTCAATCCACGATAATTTCACTGATCGACTTTTAATTGAATCCACGATCAGGTCTGATGGAGGCAGTGGTGGTTCTAAAATATTGAAGTAATTTAATTTATGTAATTGGATTGACAAACATAATTTATTATTTTAAATTTCATTTTTCCAAAAACTAAATTTAGATATTCTTTGCTTTTACCTAATATGATCAAATATACACTGTAAACATCTGCACCATAAGGATTTCCTGCTCTACATTGATAAACAGCGTCATCAGTAGTCTCTGTTTGCAGAATTTCTAGAACACTTGTCATACCTTCGTCTGATTTTGTATCAGATATTTTAACTCTGAAAAGGGTTTCTTTTTATTTTAAACAGAAGTATTTATTATCTACAACAATAAAAATCTATATATAGGAATAATTATTGTGGAATAATTTCAAGAACTCAAAAGATAAATAAAGGCATTGTAGTAAAGAATCAGCCCCATTTATTCAGTGGCGACGACCAGTCACAGGTAAAGTTACTTTAGAAAATAGACAAGACAGAAAAGTGATTTAAACACATATCGTCTACCGACCATAGGCCCCTTCCAACGCATGTAACATAACACAGTATTTCAAACCAACTTCATCCATTGAATTCCCCTTGTCTAACCAGGTTGATACTATATCCCGTGCCGTCCTGAGTTAGATCCGTCTGTTGCGATTCAGATTATATTGCAGATTCAAGAAGGAATATGCGTTTCAAATAAATTTTTTTATTCTTTTTTTTTACTTCTCTAGACGCATCGACAATTTTCACACGCTTGTCATTAATATATTAAGTAGATTTAGTAGGCTAGTAAGAAGTATTTAAGTAAATTTTATGTGTCACAGTATATAATTAGAAACAAAATAAATTAGCAAATTTAATTTGAATACGTTTTAGATATCTCATTTAAAAGGTTATCTTTAACCTTGTAATAAAATATACCCATTATATTATACCATCCTTTAAATACAATTTTTTTGGAAATGATGCTATTAAGAATATCCTTTATAATTCTAAAACTTCATTACTCAATATCGGTACCAAATAAGGTAGCTTCGCTAAATCAAGTGTATATAATCCTATCTTGTTAATTTTATAAGGTGGGTCTTTCCTAAATCGGTCCAAAGGCAACCGTATACATCACATCAACCTGCGTTGTAAGGCCCTCAAATGATTTCGTGTAGCTTTAAGTGCTTGCGAACTTATTTATAGGATAAATAAAATGTTTTATGAATAGAAGAGAGGTTTAAAGATTTAAACATACATACATACATAAACACTCACGCCTGTCACCCAGAGGGGTAGGCAGAGATTATGGACTTCCATTTGGCACGATCCTGACACACCTCTCTCGCTTCCTCCACATCCATATACCTACGCATACACGCTCGTCGGTTAAAGGTACTCTTGATTTGGCCCATTTTTAATATATCGCCAATTTGGTCGATAAACTTTCGCCTAGGGCGACCCTTCCCGACTATGCCGTTCACTCAATTAAATTTAAACTGTAAGAAAAAATATTTTTTTTTGCACAAGCTTCTAAGTCAACCAAATTGATAGTACCTTTGTGTTAGAGGGTTGATTGGCTTTCCATTTCTTGTCCACATAATTCTAATAGGGTCATCTCCTTTCGCCTGACATTCAATTGTAATATGTTGCCCAAGTTTTACTGTTAAATTTCTAGACGCTATATCAAATGTAACAGGTTCTGTAACAAAATACATGATATAGTTAATTTCATAAAATCTGTGAAAATTTAATTAAGGCTATATATTACTTTCATATATTAGTAAATATTTTAGGGACTAATACAATTCTATTGGGAATAACTATGTAAATTCTTTTTTTTTTAATTGTATTTTTTCTGAGTGTCGGTCAAAACAATCGTCGAATACTTACTATTAACAGATATCCAAATAGTCTTGCTTAAAGGATCACCTACGCCGTTTTCAACGTGACATGTGTACAAACCAGCATCGGATAAAGCAACTGCGTCAAATATTAGTGAACCGTTAGATAAACTAAGAACTCCCCCACCAGCTACTTCCAACACGGGTCGCCATGCATCGGATATTACTGTAAATATGACGTCAATGAAAAAGTGCAAAAAAAAAATTAAAAAATATAATATTCAAGAATTTTAACTACGAACCATCTTTTTTTAACCAGTGCGTCTGTGGTTGAGGATAGCCGTTAGCACTACACGATATATGTCCGTTTCGACCCAGAAGTAGTGACGTATTGTGTGGTTCTTCACTCCATTTCGGAGCAACTGTATAAAAACATGAATTTTATACGGCTGCAATCTGCATTTAATTGAATTTTATTTACATGTATTAAAGGATCTTATAGATTTTACTTGATCTTGATAAACGATAAATAAATCAAAGCAGTACCAATGTTTTCCTTGATATTCTTTAATATTTTAGTGTAAGTAAACATTTATTATTAACTGCATATTATGGTCTATAATAGGTAGCAGTCATTGAACAAACGTTTCGCGTTTGTTTCTACTCTTTGTCGCCATCGCCGTCCCCGCTTGTTTGCGGGTGACGAAGTAATAGTCTACTTGATGTAAAGTGGCTACTGGATTTATAACCAACTTCAAAGTATAAGACTATAGTTATGTTGTCACCCCTGAAGACTACAACGAAATCTCTTACGGCCTGTAATTATATGGCTCTGTTACATACCGGAACTCAGCATAGGGTGCACTGCTTTGATGACCGAAATATCTAAAACACATTTATATATTCTATAAAGAGAAAAGAAGTCCTACTACCTATTAAAGTCTGGCATTTATAAAATTTTGTCACCGTTTGTGAAGATCATTACATCTGGACACATCCTTTACTTGAAACTAAATTTACTCAAGGTGAAAAATAGATAAGAAATTTTCTTACACAATAAGAATATAAAATAATAATAATAGTAATGATTACCTTTTATATACAAATTAACAGTCCTGTTTACTTTCGCCACGTGATTCGCTGCTACACAAGTATATGTCCCACAGTGTTCAAGTGACACGTTTTTAATAATAAGTACACTGAAAACTTCTAAGCTACGCTCCACAATCTGAATTTAAATAAATATATTACTACCACTCCTGCGACTAGCCGAAAAGTCGATTTAATATAGGTATAATAATAATATGTATTAAACTACTATTATGTAGTAAAATGCGCAAAATATTTATATGAAACAGATATTAAGATAAAAATATGTAGAACACATTTTATTAACTTCTCTAAAGTTTTTCTCGAAGTAATGGTTTCGATTTCTGGTAATCATATATTCATGTCTTGAATTCCCTAAAGTTTCGATTTTATTACTTTAATGGATATCTGTGTTTGTGTGTGTGTGTGTGTTCAAAACTTAGTGGAAATTTTCTCTTATAATATTTCAAAAGCCAATATTAACATCGACTCCAAACCGATTACTTATGAATCGTAACACCTGATGAACTTTTAATTTTTAACATGGGAAAGTGACTCGTCTTAGTGCAAGTTATGTGAAAACAAAATGAAATCTTACACTTCTTAGTATAATATATTAAATAAAAAGTAATACAAAATAAAAAAGAAGACAAATGTTGTTGTGCTGATGTTGATTGATAAGGCTGAATGGAGGTTGTATTCAGCTCCATATCGTCGGATTCTACAACAGACTTAATAAGTGTGTTGTTGAATTTTAAGTTGAGGTGCTTGTTTTTATTTGTGTTTATCTAGTTTTAGTAGGTTTAAGACTCTGATCGTAACTCTCTCTATGAAATAATATGTGTAGCAAAGAAAAGCGAAAAAAATTCTTAATATCATACGATTTTAGAATTCCCAAAAATAAAAAAAGAAATCAAAATTTACCTTTAAATGTGTAGGTATTTTTTTACCGTCTTTTAACCAGGAATAATATACTGGAGAGTCACCACTTTTCAAATTGCAGTGAATTTGTACGATTTGTCCTTCCCGCAAATCGGATGCTAATAAAATTTCCTCCAACTGTGGAGCTTCAACCACTTGCAATTCGAATGATCTTTTCGCCATTTCACCAGATGGACTTTTCACTATGCAAGCATAGGCTGCCCCATTGTCACTTTTTGAAACTTTTGCAATGTTTAATACACCTTCCCTAGATACTGTAGCATCACGTTTTTGTCTTAATTTAGGCTTGCGTCCAAATATTTCTATACTAAGGGCGGTATCATTGATAAATCTTTTATAGCGATGCGTCTGATGCGTTGCATCTTTCGCTATTTCTTTACCTCTGTGTTCCCATGTGATTTCTCTAAACAGAAAATAAATTATTTAATTAAATTAAAAATTTAATTGTAAAAATAAAATTAAAATTATTTATTATGTAAAAGTACCTAATCGGATAACCATAATATGGACAACGTAGCGTGACACTCTGACCACTTTGCACCTTAAACGGTGGTAATGTTCGAATATAAGGTGGTCCTGACAAGAAAAAATAAAGTTTTTAGTAATTTTACGATTTAGTATTTAAAAATATGTTATATAATAAAAGCTTATTCGTGAATTGTCATATAACTCACCGTATACATTAACCCTGTCTTGATGTGCAATTATAGTTTCTCCTTGATGTGCAACACACGCGTAAAGACCACCATCATCAACTCTTATATGTGATATATTTAACTGTGTCGTAACACCACCGTCTGGTGTCATAGTTTGTCCTATTGTGTACCTAATACACAGTTATTTTTTAGTTTTAAGATAATATATTTCTTAAACATACCAGTTGATAATTTGTAAAAACTTTAAATTTAGTTTTAATTTTTGATAAAAGTGAAAAATGAATACAGTATTACTAAGAGCGATTCATATGATATAAATGTATAAAGCCGTGTCGTATTTTTTTTATTATTTATATATAGTTTATTAAAAATGAACTTTATATGTCTTACCTGGAATCTGTGTTCGAAGAGATGACTATGTTGTCTCTTTCCCATACAAATCTTGCTGGATGAGGGCCATTGACGATACAGTGTAAATTTACCTGCCATAATGCAAAACATATGAAGTGTACTTTTTTTTCTTTTGTTTTATAAAACCAACATAAGTCCACTACTAAACAAAACTCTCCCCCAAACCTATAACAAAATATGTTCCCAAACCTCCTGCGTCCATTGACTATATACACGTCTTAGCAGTTCGTCATTCCATCTAGTGGGAGCGGCCCTATACTGCACTTACCAAATGAAAAAAATAACATTTATGATAAGGTGCACTATGGGATAATTTATCTATATTAAGTTTGACTTACATCAGCTCCCGGAGTAACAGTAGTCTCGCTGAAGTGTTGAGACATTAACATTTGCGACCTTCTTTTACACCTTCTTTGTCCAATTCCTGTAGTATCTGTTGAAATATTAAGGCTTCTAGAAACTTAATTTTAAAATAAAAAAATCAAAGAGAAAACATTTATTGCTCTTTTGAAAGAAAAGTAACAGCCTATTTAATATATTCTAGAACTGAGCACAGGTTTACACTGAATAAAACTACTACCTAACTACTTTTACGTTTTTTTACTCGAAAATTCAAAGCACTCGAAACCTCGGAGTTATCATGCCCAACGGTCAAAAAAGTAAATGAAAAAACCCGACTGCTTAAAAAGGCTATTGAAAAAAAATTCAAATATGCTCTTCACGAATAAGACGAATGTTACACCATTCCATACATATTTTAAAATCCATCAAGCCTTTAAGGTAATAGAAACATAAATAAATATGTTTTTTACTCGGAAAATTTTAACTTTAAAATTAAACATGTAAATTTTTTAAAATGCTTTTATTCAATCAGCTTACAGTTGTATTTCTAACATTTTTCTTCATACTTCTGAAACTATAATATAACACTTACATTTACTATAATAATTTATCATACATATATATCATATAATTATTTCAAATTATCGAATATAAATCATTTTGTATATACAAGTTGAAATAAAAATCATTAGCATCATTGTATTCATCAGTAAATTTGCCTTTGTCCTTACCATTGCCCCTGACTTATAAACTGTATTTGCAACTTAAAATTCTCGAATCAACTTAATCACATACACAATATTTCATCAAAATCAGTCCAGCTGTTTAGCAGGAGTTTAGTCACATACACACTGACAGAATTATTATAATGCATATATATAAAAATTAAAACTTTAACATTGCGTTATATAAGTACCTACTTAGTTGTAATCATCAGTATATTCTTGGTTTAAAAATAAGCCAATGATTTCAATTCTATCCTGTATATTGTTTACAGTACTTAAGTAAACAATTACTCATGCTGAATTTAAAAAAGTAAAATCAAAAAGTTAAGGCTATGAACCTTGCCTGTGGTTAAAATAATCAACATCATACATTGACAAAATTTTAGGTTTAAATGACATTTTGTGGTCGAGCCATGCTGCAGCTATGTTAGTAGTATAGTTGTAGCATGAATGGGTCGGCTCGACCGAGAAAGGACCACGTTCTCACATGATTCGTAATCGACGATAGATGTAGATGTCTATGGGCCACAGCAACCACTTATCATCAGGTGGACTGTGTGCTCGTTTGTCACCCTCATCCTATAAAAAAAAATCAACACTAAAAACAAAATCTGTGCAACAATTTAATGCTTGATAAAATCGTTAATTTTACAATTCAAATAAAGAAGTGGATCATTAGAAAAAAGAATAGAAGGAAATCAATACACAAACAAAACATACCGAAGCTCACGTTTTCTTACCATTATTTGCAGGCATCTCATTCCAGCCGAGTTTTTCGTCCGCTATTATACTTTTCTCAATATCAGTTATCAATCTGAAAGAGAAACACCCGAGGCTCCAATTATTTTTAATGAAGTGTAATTGAAACTTTGGAACCGAAATGTAATGGAATTACTATTTCATAAAATTATCATATTATATTATGAAACATAAGATGTGAGAGCAATTCTTTTGACGTCAAAGAAGTATTTTCCTACTATATGTATTGGATAACGATATTGCCAATATGGCTTCCAGCTACGAGACAAACAAAGTAAATTTTTGTGGTTCAGAGCATAGGTATCAATTCTGGCACGTAACCTTGTGTATCTACAGAACACAATATCTTTGAACAATAGCAAACGATTTATTACATCTACAGTCGCTATTTTATTATAAGCTTGAAATTCGTATTTTTCTATCTGTCCATTCAGAAGAATAAAAGTTTGGAATTTGCTCTTCGAAAGATAATTTTAAAACTTTCGTTTTAAATAGGACTTCAAGAAGAAAAAAAAACTAAACTGTTATCCCTGTAGGTTTTCATTCGTGAGATTTTTAAGAAACAACTCGACCTTTTTTATAATTCTTTTACTGGGGTAATCTTCATACTGATGGGAGGGCTCTAGTGTATAAAATATAAATGTTTTGTAAGTTTTTATTTATTTTTGTCTGTTTATTAAAAACAAAAACTTTACTGAATAAGTTTTTGTTTTTAGCTCTCATAAAATTTGCGCTTGGAAAAGAAAACCATATATGTTTTTACGCGTTGATTGTTTAAAATGATAAAATGTATCAAATCTGTACCATCATTTATTGGTTCTATTTCATCGTACATGTTTAACACTAGATTAGTATCTCACCGCTTAGTGCTTTCCTTATAATTTTCTTCTAACAGATCTCCGCTGCTTAGTGCAATTGCTGTAACAAAGAAATCATTATTTCATCATTTTAAAAAGCATTCAAATGACATAACATAACACTAACGTTGAGGACTAATCTTGTTTTTACTAACCTCCCAGATTTTAAGTTTTTTTCAGTCTACAACAACAAAGAATGGAATAGAATAGAATAATTTTTATTCAATATTGAAGATTACAGTACTACTTATTGAAAGTCAATTTTTACTTTTACAGTTGGTACGCAAAAAAACCTCTGTCCTGGGAAGAACCAGCAAGAAATCCAGCGGGTATTTTTTTTAAAGAGCACATTTTACAATATAATATACAATTGTTATGGAAACATCTAGAAACAACATGGTAGCGATCACCTCATTCCCAGGATTTATTATCAGTCATGTACTGTTTATTAGTATATCAATTCTTACTAGACAAGGGTCATCTTGGGAAGATTTGTCCTTACAGACATGGACTTCATTTCTGTCTAGGACGGAATTACCAATTTGTCCCGCCAAATTACGTTCACTACATTGTTTATTCTAAAGGATATAGGGAGCCTGATTAGTTCTCCACTCTCCATCTTAGTCCTCAAAGGTTTCATGGCTGCGGTAGCTTCTTACCATCAGGTAGGCTGTAAGCTCGTCACTTTAATTTTAGAAAAAAAATGCACATCTCACCGTGCAGGTGGGTTTATAAGCGCAGACGAAAAAGCAATGGTATTTTTATAAGAATGCCAATCGGGTACACGTTAAGTGTTGTGACCTATAAACACCTCTTTTTGTGCTCAATGAATAATCAATAAGTCGATGTGTTGTCACCTCTGGTAACTGAGATTAATTACCTCATTACTAATAAAAATTGGCTCCGATTTTCGTGACTTAGCATACAAAACACTGTAGCATTGTGATGCTATTTCATACTGGTATTATTTGCGAGCATGTTGTTTCACAGGTTAAGCTGACCCATTTACGCTGCAGCCATAATAATCCAAGTTACAAGTACAAATAATAATTCCACTCCCCATGACCAGTATGTGGTCATTTATCGGTCGCTAAAGCCTTGTTCATTAGCAGGTTATACCGTGGTTAAGAAAATTTCAGGCGTAAGCATTTACCTTAAAATTTAATCGATTAAGCTGTGCTTGTGTTGGAAGAGAATACACTACCATAAATTATACCTTGAGTATCGTAAGAGGCCACAGAGTTTTATGAAACAGACGGTAAACAGCAAAAATAATAACTCAAAATAAAAACAAAAAAAACTGCTGTTGCCAACCCTCGTGTGGCTTATGGTAGACAGTAACCCCACCCTATAATACAATATATGACAAGTCCTCTACTAAAGACAGTAGAGGACTTTTCATAGAATCTAATGAATAAATTAATGAAGCTAAGTTCTGTTCCACCGCCACTTATGTTATTGTTAATTACAATATACTAATTTTTCATCGAAAACCGTGCCTATTATAAAAAGATATTTCGATGTTGCCCTAAAAACCCTTTCAGGAATGGGAGTCTTAAAAATGTAACGTAAAAAACAAAACCCGACAATGTGATTTTAAACTTAAATAAAACATACAGAAAATCTTGTTTCAGAAATTCATTGTTGTAGCACCCTATCTTGCTAATATCAAAGCAAGAAGTTCTTAAGTGGAACACGTCTGAGTGACGCTGCAATGTCGTTAAAACTTCAACAATTACACTCAAGTTGCGTTTCAAAGTTACACGCCTTCTCACACTCGTTGATTCCACCCATTCTAACTTTTGTAACAAGCATCCTTTTTCTCGTCGCGGAAAAGGAATTTAAATTTGGCTATTTGACGCCTTGGGTTACCGAAGGGAAAAACTTTTACCTCTGAAAGATAAGAGTTAAATTTGTTTATTACGCTTTTGTTGCGCTAAGACACTGCGATTTATCATCTACGGTATTATCACTTTGTATTCCAGCAGTTTTTATAGGTAAAATTTTTTTTGTATTATCATTTAAAAAAAATATTTTTATTTTTATTTCCTACATTAAAATTTTAATAACTGGCATTCACTTAGAGTCGCCTCTTACGAAACCCACGAGACGAAATGGGGTGGTAAGTATTCTTACGCCGCCACACAGTAAATTTTCCAAAAATCTTATAGTTACCGATAAATGACGTAAAGTCATCTCACAAAATAATTTTCTGCATCATAATTTTACGTATACCTAGACCGTTAAGCAGAAGCAGCAGCGTTTGTTGTTTCGGTCATCACCACATGCCATCAGGTAGTATATTAGTCAATATTTGGGTTAGCTATAGTGTTTATTACAATTAAATCACCGACTTCGGAAGCTATGTTAATATAATTTATTGTTTTGGTTTTTCAAAGATGGGTCTTACATACTTTTATTATAAGTTTCTTTTTGACCCTGAAAAGGTGACTAAGGTATATTACAAGCTCAAATTAATAATTAGAATTATTACGTTAACAAACGGTTAAAATCATTTTAGATTCACTTTAGATGTTGACACTTCTAAGGACTTTAAAAAATATCTACAAGCTATGTGGCCAGCACTATACGGTCGTTTGTCGTTCTAATATAAAAAGACACTAAATGTATCCATCAAGTATTTGATTCTAATGCTGCCTTGGTCTTACTTTTGTGAAGACTCTATTGGCTATCTTAAGGTTCATT